CTTTCTTAGAATTAAATTTTGGCATCACCTTCCTTGAATTTTGTCTTGCGCAAATAAATCCATCACGAGACTTTTGACCGGCAACAGAACCTGATGCTTCAGTGGTTAATTTAACACACCTCTTTACCGATTGAGTATGGCAAGGGAATTTAGGAAAATTAAACATTTTTATATTTCCGTCGTTCACTATTTTTTTCAAATCTTCAGTAGTTACTTTACGCAAGAGAGGCGGTTCTGTTAAAATTAGGTTTGAGCTTTGCCAGTCAATTAAATCATAGTAAGTATTGCTGTCAAAGTCTATCTTGGGAATTTTAAAAGATCTTACCCCTGAATGTTTCAAAGATCGAGCTTTTATAATTCTCCTGCACGCAAGTTCTCTTATATGTTTGTCATTATCAGTAAGCATTGATAGAAATATATTTTCGGGGTGACCGAAATATGCGTTTCTTTCAATTACCGGATGTACTATATTCTTTGTATCGTCTGAAAGATATCTCGTATAATTAATCATGAACCATAGATTTCGGGCCCCATCCTCGCAGGAACTGTTGCACTTTATTTGGAACCATGTAGGAGCATAAACTTTGCTAACAAAAGTCGACAAGATCTTTAGATTGTCTGTTGGATTTTTAGTGGCAACATATAGACGTAAAATTCTATTGGCGGCTGTGAGCCATCTGGCATGAGACATCTTGCCTGGGTTTCTCCTTGCTAAGTCAATAGGTACCTCACCATTTGATACAGCTAAACATCATATAAATATTGCTGGTCAGTGCTTAATTTTGCACGTGACAGGTCTGGTAAGGACACTTCAATTGCCTTAAACTCTGTCATAGGAAGATTTTGACATGTTCTTAATTTTTTTCCTATTGGCCCTGAAAATTCTGTAGGCCCTGTAGTCGCTCCATCTAAGTTAATAAATAAATGTCGTAATGGCAATTCGTTGGCGTGCAGTTGGCAGATAAGCCATTGCAGTGGCTTATTAAATCTCTTTTCCATCCTTGAAATTATACCATTTTTTCTTCCCATGTTTGTATTTGTCCCATCACATCCCACAGCAACCAAACTGTCAAGTGGATAATTTTTTATTTATAAGGAATGATAACATGGTGCTCTCAATATCTTCAGCAGTTCCGGTCGGTGGAGTCACATGGCCGAGGTAAACGAATCCAGGTTCTTGTACTAGAGTAATGTGTTCTTCTACTTTAACTTTACGGTATAATTTTTGTCCTTTTTTTACAAAATACATAGTTTTGTCTTTACGCCCATCGAAAAACAAAGCTTCAATGTCTGTAAATTTGCGATTTCTCAATAACTTATTTCTTCTTCGAATTCTGTCGCGTCTTAATTTAGAGTGATCTATGACATATGAAGATTTATTTTTTGAAATCGAATTTACATCTTGAAGAGCTGCCGACGCAATGGCAGCTCCCGCTCTGTGTGACACCCCATAACGGTCGCAAGTTTCGGATAATTTCTCGAAAATCAGTGGGGTTAATTTCTTCTTTTTTTGAGATTCGGAAAAGGTCGTACATGTTGGCGTTGGCTCATAATATTCTTCGTCTTTCGTTAAAATTTCCGATTCATCTGTAGAACTCTCTGAAAGCTGTCTTGAAGTAGAAGGTACCGGTAGGACTTTGAGCGAGCCAAAGACATTCATAGTTAGTTTTTAAAGTGTGGCATAATAAAAGCCCTATTTTATTACTATTAAACTAGATGGTGGTAAGGTAGATACTATCTACGAGATAGTGAATATACTATCTACTAGATAGTGAATATACTATCTACTAGATAGTGAATATAATTCGCAATATCGCAATGATTTCGCATCTTGTGCGCATCATCTAGAGAGAACGTCCGCCCCCAGCATCCTTAGATTAATAATCTCTCGCATCTTGTGCGCATCTCTGATGTACTAAAGTCTAGTTAAATATTGATAAGGTTTTGGATTATAATTTTATAATTTGAATTTTATATTTAAGTACCTAGGTACTTAAAAAAGAATATATGTTTATGTTTATGAGATATTTAGTTTTGGTACCATATAATCCTTTTCCCCAATATAGAAAAGCAAATAAACAATAAGAAGTTTAGCAAAATTATTTTCCTTATATGTTACCCCCCCCCCCCAAAAAGAAAAATATATCGACGCCCTTGATGCTATCTACCTATCCAGAGTTTAGTATACTTATATTATATACCTATAAGCTGGATTGTTAAATAGCACATAGAATAAAATGTCAATTAATAAATTCCCAAAATATACCAATTGAAGGGGTTAGAATAAAAAGGGTATAAGTAACATTTTCATTTTTTGGAGATATTTGAAGTTAAAGTTATGTTACCATAAAAAAGTGAAGAATTTTGTTTAGTAATGTTTTTCTACTGAATAATAGAGGTCCCTAGAAGTATGAAAATTACTTAAATCCTTTTCATTTCGATACGTCCGAACCTTATCTTTTACAAAACGAACTTATCTCCTAAATTAAAGAAATTGCACTTATACCCTTTCTATTCTAACCCCTTCAATTGTTATAGTAATATTAATTATAATATTTTTTAGATTCAATTGTTTTAATTTTTATCGTACTAGTATTTTAGTCAAATAAAAATATATACACTGTAAAAAGATACTTTTTTTTTCATGTACCATAAGCAGTAGAAAAAACAAAACATATTTGGACTAAAGCTAAAATAAAAAGAAAGAAATAAGGTAAATTATTACATTTAAAATGGTTTGGGTCAGAATAATAATTCATTATCCCGAATCCCAATATTAATGAAGTTAATAAAGCCCAACGAACACCATCTTATAAGCTCTGACCCGATTTTATTAATATCTAGAATTTACACTTAAAGGGTGTATGTATAAACGTGGCTTATAAAGTATATACCTAAACACTATCCTCCTATTTATTTAGGATATTATCAAGCATTCGGATGATAAATACATTATCCCCAAACTATTAGAATCCCTTATGCTAAGCGGGAATTTTCTTCCTTGTAAACCTTACCATGTTTGTTGCTAATCTTGTTCCTTACTCACCATCCTCCCTTTACTTTAATATCCGTAAAGGGAATCCATAAAACTAAATACCTTTAGTCTTCATTAATTTTTCATATCTTATTATTTTATATTTTTAATAAACCTAAAACTGCCTTTGGCTTTATTCGGTATTTAATTGTTTAGTTAAATTAACTTATAAATTGTCTTAAAATAATAATAATAATAATAATAATAATAAGGGTTATAATAAAACGAATTATATAAATGATATCGTTTTATTTTTTTTATTTTGAAGTACAGTTAATGATACCATTTTGTATAACAGTAAAGGTATAAGTATTTTTAATGCGTTGAATTAATCCTTTAAATTGCTTTACCATGTCAAACTTTTGCTAACCCAAAAGTAAAAATAAATAAATATGATTTTTAAATAGGGAGAGTACTACTTTCAGATGGCGTAACTAGTTTTGTGAAGAAAAATACCTTTTGATGTAATAGGTATATCCCCAAATACTGAAAAAAACTGAATTTTTCAAGTTTTTGAGTAAAATTTCCGAAAAACCTGATTTTAAGGTAAAAATATGTTATTATTCTAATATTGTTTCTTTAATCTTCTGGATTTCAGATAAATCCATACAAAATCTAGAATTGTTAAATGGGGTTGGGATAAAAAAAATTGCATAGGTATTTAGAATCTACACATACAAGTTTGTTATTAAAAACATTTTTTCAGGTTTCCAAAACCATTTTTAAGAACGCTACACCGTTTTAAAAACCACAAGATTTAAATTCACCTGGAATAGTATCGTGAATGTTATAAAAGATGTGTAAGGAACATCTGTTTCTAGCATGGTTTTTGGGTTATGTTAAAAAAATTATTTGGGTATATATTTTTTTTCGCGGCGAAAGAATTTAGCGATTTATATATTTAAAAAAAAATTGTAGCAAAAATCGCTTTTAAGCTATGGGACTAATCACTATAATCTTAAGATTGTTTTATGCGCAGTATGGCAGTCATAATAAAAAGAAATTAAATATTTTTTACACTTGCAGACTAAAATGGTATCAAACTGCTACCTTTGGTGTAAAGTTTTTAATGCACCACCCTATGAAGCCAGAAATATGGAATTAACCCTTAATTACTCGCGTTGGTGTATTTTGTACACCAGCGCCAAATTTCTTGCTGCCATCAAACGTACGATTTTTTTGTGGCTCCAGACCCCCACCTAACCTATGTCTAACATGTCTGGAATGTAATGCATCAGTTATACGCTGAACGGCCTACTGAGCTGTTTGTTGGTGCCTAAAATCTTTTGTAGCCTCGCTACTTTTGATGTTTTTTCGATGCATTGGCATCGCACGGTGCATTTGCATTGTATATGTATGTCAATTTTGTAATTAAGTTATATTCATACAAAACTACCCGATTTTTTTTGACAGAATCTGGTAACCCTAATCGCACCCCATCAACAGTCCGTCCGGCCCTCCTTCCACCAATCCGCCTTTATAGGCGACACTGTTGTCACTTTCTTTCAGTTGTGAGATGAACGTGGCCTGAATTTCCTCAGTGAAAAATACACGCTATAGGCCGTTCCACGTAGTTTTCGTAATTCTGCCCCTCCTAAAGGATCTTTAATTAGACCATATTTGTATGTACGTTGCTTTGGTGCAAGTTAATTGTCGGCTACTTAATTTTATCCTTTTCCGCCTCCTTGTCTACTTTAACTGTTACAATGATCCTATCTACCTTCAGGTAGGTCTTAAATTGATGGCCTCGAGAGCCTTCAATGCCGCGTCCGGTACTTCAAGCACCAAGGTTACCCCATCTGGGTCCCCTCTGCACTCGGAGTACCCTTCATTTATCGATCCTGAGGGTCGGGTTTTATTTTCCCAGGCTCTTCAGGACCTCCGCTGCCTTCCTGGCCGTACCTGGTATCAAAACGACAGCCCGTGGTAATCACTGGAGACTCTTCAGATCCTTTGCCCTGGCCCCCTAATGTCGGTCAAGGGACCAGTTCTTCCAGCCAGCCCCTGGACTCGTCGTCCATCGCCCTCGCACAATGGCTCCCGATTTGAGAGAGACCCCCCCAAACAGGGGCACTGCGGCTCCCTCCTCAAGGTCCTCGATAGCCCTTAGCATCGCCTTCCTCAGATGCGTAACATCGAACAAGCTTTCGGGATAGTCCTGTGGCACGACAGCCCTCATATGAGAACTGTCCGCCGCTTGGGCGTAACTAAGGTCCCTATCCTGGTCCCTCGGTATTTTCAGCCGTCGGTCTGCCGGTGATGCCACGGTGTGTTTCTTATGCCTCTTTCTTCTCCCTTCTGAGGGTATCCCCCTGTTTTAGCGAGTCCTAAGAAGCTGTCCTCTCTCTTTCTATAAGCCTCGGTAAGCGCCTCCTTTTATGCAGTATCGCCTGCAATCCCCTGGGATACCAGCTGTTCCCGATCACCCGGACCCTCTAGAGTTCCGGTTCTCATAGTCCCGGCATTTTCCCGGAAGCCCGCTTGCTCCCCTTCCACCTTTCTGGAGTTCTCGAAGAGTCCTCGAAAATTTCTCGAAGAGCTCACCCTCGAAGAACCCACACCTCGAAGAGAACACACTCCCCTCTCCTGCCTCAACAACCGGGAAAGTGGTCCCAGATGAGCCCTACTTCTTAGTTGCCTCCGTTGAGCTTTCGCTCAGTTTTTTGTTTTTTTTTTGGTCCATGAGTATCCTGGAAAAATAATTATACATACTACAGTTTAATTTGTATATATATATATATATATATATATATATATATATATATATTGCAGTAGGTAATTAATAATTGTACAAATTATTTAATAAAAGCTTCAATTCAATGTTTAAAATATTATTGTATGTAAGTATCATATGCAGCGCTGGCGAAAGGAACATATTTAGACCGGGCAAGCACGTTGACTGATGCCTCTATAATTACTTTTTACATATATATTGAAGATATTGCAAATAATGTTTTATTAATTTTAATATAGAGAAACTTCTTTCTTCTTATGCGGTGGTTATGGGCAATGTCGACCTATGCCCAATTTATGCCATGTTTACGAGCTATCGAGTGGCATTATTGGCAACTCAGCGGATTGTATGTAAGTATTTCCTATTATTATTTTTGTATTTTAAAATATTTTTCGTCAATATATTAGGCAATCTCCAACAAGTTAAGCCAAATTAATGCCAAAAGTGTACCTGTGCAGGTGAAATCACTGTACCTGTCCACCACTGTCTTAATAGAATTCGCTCAATAGTACAGTGTATTAAGCAATCTTCCAACAAGTAAAAATACTGTTTAAAAATAGGTGTACTACCTGTGCAAATGAATCCAATGTACCTGTCTCCCGAAGGAACCAAAACACAAGAGTACCAAGTGGGTTGCAGCAATAAACAATAAGTACCCTACATCAAACGTAAATTCTATTTAATAGGAATCGGTACACAGCATTTTTAATCTAGCAGCAGTGAAAACTTAAGTACGTGACACAAACGACACTCAAAAATAAACAAGCGCCAAGAGACAAGAGAACAAACTAAAACGTCTTAGAAACTAAACCAATAAACACTTGTCATCTCACTTTCACCAGTATAAAGGGCAATGCACTAAGCAATCATTGCCTAGAATTTCATACAACTACCGCAATGAAAACTGTGTGTACACACAAAAAAAAAACAATTCGCCAAATGGCAACTTCTTATTGTCATTAGCAGTACACAAACGGTACCACCCACTGATAGAGTCGTACCTAGGTTTAGGTCGGCGTTGTTTTCCCCTGAAAACCAATGGTCTATCCAGTTTTCAGCTCGCCTAGCCCTCTGGGCGTATATTTCGACCCGGTGCAATTTCGGAAAGGGTACTAAAACCGTCGGATGTCGCGTAATTAAATAAAAATGTAACCAAAGTATAAGCACAAAATAACATAAGTAGTTACTTAGTTATGACTATAAATGATAGAAACTAGCAATCAAAAGAACAAAACAGGCATTAAGTTAGTTCCCTTGTGAGAAAATCTTTCTTCAATCTCGTGTTAATGCACACTCGGCCTGAAGGCCTCGTGAGCAACTTAAACACTTGCATGAAAAAGTCGCTTTTCAACACTTGTAAAACAAATAACTATTCTAGAATATGTTAAAAAGTATTTAGGTTCACAGTGCCGTATAAAATATGGTGATAAAGAAGAAAATCGAAAGGTTGGTATCGGTTGCAATTGCAAAGTCCCAAAGAGGCAATGCTGATAAGGCCAGTCAGAAAGTGTAATAATAGCTTACTTTTTTAATTGTTTTCAAACGTATAATGTCTCAATTTCACGCGAGTATAGGACAAAAGATATGTTTTAATTGTAATATTAAGTACCTATTAATTAGTGATATGTAATGGTTTACGTACCTTAAGGTAGTTGTCGTGGTATACCATTGTATACCATTGTATACTATTGTATTGTATACAATATTGTCAAAAATGTTTAGATTATACGCACCATAAAAGTATACGAGCTTGTAGCTAAGTGATTCATAATTTTTTCGCAAGACTGTACCCTGGAGACGTTACCTTTACGTAATACTTTCAAATATTTTAATAAGTTTTATTCCGACAACGTCGCTCATGCTCAACCAATTTATTGGGGACTGATTCAGTCTGTTTGAATTTACTGCGGAAATAATATCTATACTCGCGTACAGCGTTGCCAAGCTGTTTTTATCTGACACTAGTGATGTATATTTTTCACAAATTGTTGAACTTTAAACGGTTATTTATAAACACTTGGACGGTCAAAAATTTTTAATTATTTTTTTTAAACTCAGCAAAAGTACATTAAAAGACTGTTAGTTTTTTTAAAGGTTCTGACAGTTTTTTTTTATAACTAAGAAACTGGTACAGAACTACATAAAGCGTATACAATCCATGTTAATTATCCAATTTTTAATTGAATTTATCTCGGGTTATAGACAGTCAATCGACTTCAAATTTTAAGGATAATTGTATTGTCATGTCCTTAATAAGTATACTAAAATTTAAAATTTTCTGATGGTATGCTTACAGCACGAAAACTACCTTAAATAAAGTAAAAATGTGTTAAAACGCATTTTGAAGAGTATTCCAACATCTGTTTTTAGTTTCATCAATTTTTAAATTATATAACATTAATTAAATCCTTCAAAAATTGCTGTAAAGTATACACTATAGGTTCGAATTTTAAATTTAAAACATAATTTTAAAAACTGAATATTAAAATCCGCTGTTTTTTTAACAAGTGAAAAGGTTTAAACTGTCAAGGAACTAGTTTAGGTTCGTGTTTTTAGGAAGAACTAATAGGTTTTTACCTTAAAAAAAGATGGCAATATAAGGTGAAACAAGGATAACTAGATTCTATATTGAAAAATCTACCCTTTCTCTCAAACAATCGCCTATTACCCTCTCTCACTTACTGCCCGTTGTTGCAATATATTCTTGTAATATTGTAAGTTGTTAAGTGTTCAGTACACTGCGTTATTGTAAATAGGTAAAAACACAACAAATTTTAATATTAATTTAAAAAACCGATTTTATCCTGTTTTTGAATTAATAGGTATTTCATTTTTTTTTACGATAGTGTTAACATTACTTGATGTATACATCAAGTAATGTTAACACTATCGTAGAAAAGTATGAACATAGTTTTATTACTTTTATATCACTTACATGGTACCCACTACCATAGTACCCACAACTTAGCCGCGTTTTTTCATTATTATACTGTTTTTATTACTTAGGAAAAAGTAAAAGTAAACAGGGTTGTTTCAAATTAAAATGTTGTTTTAACCCTTAACTACTGACACGGAGTCTGACAGACTCCGCGTCGAATATTTTATAGTAATACTTCCACCACAAATTTTATTGGCGCTTGCCGTTCACAGTAGCTTCCTAGTTTGGAGTGTTATTTGAGGTAGCGAAGGGACAAGTGTATGACATTATTATTTATTTAATTATACGCGCCTCGGAGTCTCCCAGACTCAATGTCAGTATAAACGTCAAAAAAGTTGAAAATCATTATGGCTAGTTCCCGTACGAATATTCGCTTTAACGACCCAGATTTTGAAGAAATAGCAACGCAATGGTTTAACATAGGTTAGAAACCAAAATCAGCAGGGAACTAAAAAGTTCAAGCCGTCGAATTTTAAAATTGCCAGAAGAGCTACAATGCCAAGAGGTACTTGTACTTGAGACACGAAAATATTGTTACATATGTCCTTCCAAAATTCGAAGAAAGTTCAAGCCGTCGAATTTTAAAATTGCCAGAAGAGCTACAATGCCAAGAGGTACTTGTACTTGAGACACGAAAATATTGTTACATATGTCCTTCCAAAATTCGAAGAAAGACGGCCCATACATGTATAAAATGCCAAAAACCAATATGTCTTCAATGTTCACGCAAATGTTGCACAAACTGTTGTGATAACTTGGAATAATAAAATATTTTATTTTGATAAATATTATGGTGTTTATATTCCATGGACAGAATCGTTACCATTAAACTTAAAAATTTTGTTTGCATTTTTTTTATGTTATAACCTTTGTGTTTACTATATTCTTTGTAACAAAAAAATTAAATCAATATTTTTTGTGATATTATTATGATATATTTTGTTTACGTGTTTTTTAAAAGCAAAAAAAAATTGGTTTTCTTTTGTTGTTTGTTTTTCATATTTCTTTTTTATAAATGTGATATATTTTTTAATTAATGTTCATAATACCTATATATTGTGTCTAATTTCTATGCAAAAATTATTTTCATAAAAGCTCCAAAAGTATTTAATAACAATATACTAAATACGGAGTCTGGTGGACTCCGTGTCCGTATTAATGTCAAAAAAATGGGTGTCAGTAGTTAAGGGTTAATTAAAGCTATATAATTCTAAATATTACTTTAAAAAGTAAATTATAAAGGCCTATCATTATCCTGGTAGCAAATTCCTTTATTTAAAATTCTAGTCAGAAATGTTATCCCCGTATTTACAATGTATAACAGCTCCTTTATAGTTACCGGAGGCAAAGCGTAGCATAAGGAAATAGAACGGCATATGCTTGCTCCGTTCACTATGCATTGAATATGAATTTTGTCGTTTTTGAATTAATAATGTCTTAAAGCAGTATTATGTACATATCTACATTGTTTTTAAAATAAGGAGCGAATAAAACTTAAATATTTAATACTTTTACAAGTATAGCCATATTGTAAAGAAATGCCCCTTTTAAAGACTAAATTTCATGTAAGGTATTTTGTTAATAAACAACTCCCCTATATAAAGTGTTTTTGGTAATGAAAAT